TCCCCATTCCCAGGACAAACCTTCTCCCTCACCAGTCCTTTGAACTTCACCCCCTCAGGCGCAGACACATACTTACGCTGTCCAAACAGGACTATCTGCCCCTCCGCATCATCGGGAAGTTGTTCGTCACCCCACCTTCCGTCGAAGTACAGATAGTTCGTGGGCGTGTTTGCATCGTACGGTTTGAACTTCTCCGTGGCGTTGTTGTAGCTGTATGCGTACATGCTCAGGATCGGGTCCCATAGGACGCCTTTGTCCGTTTCGTCTTCAAGGAGGCCGCCTGGTAGGTTGAAGCCTGGGATCGTGTGGTCGTGGGTCCTAGGGTTCGTTAGATTTATTTTCTATTTTTTTTTTTTTTTTTTTAAATTCATTTTATTCAGTTTATCTCAAAAGACAATCCCTCCGACTTTACATAAATACATGCACACACAAAAAAGAGATATGAAGAAAGATTTCCCGGGTCTCAGGAAACCTGGATGTCCTATCGCTTGGCGTATCTTGGCCTCAATCTGTTGGAGTAAAGGCATGAAACTTACCCAGGAGTTGCGTAGACAGCATGCGACCCATTCGCACTATATCCGACTGGACGAAGACCCTGCTTCTCCGTAGCTTGATAGGTGAATGCCTCACCGCCCGCATGCTGGCTATACCAGACAGCCTGTGGCTCGCCATTTTCGAAAAGAATCATGTTGTGTTCCCTATGAAACACAATTTTGTATCAGGAACGTCATTCCTCCTGATTCTGTTCACAACAACAACAACAACAACAAAAAAAAAAAAAAAACCAAGAGGTTCGTCTAGCCATCTGGAAAAAGAAAATTGCTTACCAGTCCCCGACATGATTGCCGAATTGGATTCCGATGACCGTATTTCCTTGGTTATACCTAATGCTATCGTCAATTGACAAATTCCCACAAGCCTTTCTGTCTAGACGACGAAAGAGGAAATGAAAAACTTGAAAGTTTACCCGTAATAATAAAAATAAAAAGCATCAACCATCGTTCCATCGCCATGGTCTCTCACAACGATGATGGACGAGACAGCGTGTACAGTCTTTCCAGCCTTGTCAGGTCTGGTGCCACTGAACCACTCCGGAAGTGCTCTGATACCCTCGTTCGTGGTAAGGAAGACATCCTTGCCGCCCAGGCTATTCAGCGAATCAAGATTGTCGAGCGTCAGCGGTGAAGGTACATCAGCGACAGGTGTATAGTTGACTGTGGGCTTTGAGTTTTCAAGTAACGTCGCAAAAGCGGAGGGCATGTATTGGTCTTCGCTGTGCAGGTAGATAATGGGGGCTACATGGTGATAGGTTTAGCACGATACTTTGGTTAGCAGAAATGAATGGGATGTCTGTCCACACTGCCATTTTCTTTCTGGAGGCATTTTCATTTATTGAATGCAAGACCCATACAAATCAACGGCACAATAAGATATAAAAAAAACCGAAAAAAACAAACCATATTTAAGAACGAAGTCTGGGATACCGTCGTATTGCGCTAGGCAAGTCGCATCGACCAACAGGACGAATCTGAGACACTGAATCAGGAGCGATGCCACCAACATCGACTGAGTTCGATGCGAGATCCACATCTTGCCAACCCTTTCCGGGGAGCTTATTGAGTCGGCGGGAAAGTTATTCTTTGAGGACTTTTTGCTCAATCGTTTTCCTTTCTTCTTCTCCAACCTATGGTAATCTCGCGATCTGTTCCAAGACGTCTCTCTCACTCCCCACTTCTCCCTTATCTCTCTCACTCTCTCCACTCGGGGGAAAAAATGTAGGACGTGTGCAACAGATAGCAGCGCCTCAATGCCAGGTTCTGTAGTTGTACGTCAAGTATCTTAACTTGAACTCATATTGTGCTGATATCAACTGTAGATGTAGAGGAACGCCAGCAACGATAATGGAGGGAGTTATCTCAGGTATCCAATATACCTAGTAACGAGGGCGAACTGGAATGTACCACATTATATCGGGTTTGCCATTGCCCATTGCTCGGGCGATGGCACGGGACAGGGTCATCCTCACCCCATCCAAGCAAGTCCTATGCCACACCCTGTAGAGCATTCCCATGGTGACCTTTTATGTATTGCTCCTGTACCTCGCTGCGCTGGGGATCAAGTACCAACTGGTTGACTGAAACGCCGAACGGAAAACCGTTTTGCTGCTAACTATCGGAACTATCGGACTTTCAAGGGTCTCTATAGCAGCCAGGGGATATCAATAACGAGTCCGCTACCCCCAAGCTACCGATCTATATGGCATATCATAGAGACATAAGGTCTCCCAAAAAAAAAAAAAAAAAAAAAAAAAAAAAAAAAAAAAAAAAAAAAAAAAAAGAAAGAAAGAAACATATACGGATAGATATTTTCATAGCAGCATTGTGTTTTTCATTTCTCTCCATATAACAATAACAACAATAACAGTCACTCACCACCATAAAAACTACACCTATTTGACTTGGCTAATCCCATGGTCTCCCCTGAACAACTCAAAATTTGGAGGAACAAGCAAACCAGACCAAACTGGAAAGGGTCAAGTCGAGTCAGCCGCTTTGAGCTACCACCCAGTGCAACTTGTAGCAGAAGTTTTGGAAGTTGGAAGGATGAATGGTGGCTAAACCTTATCGCCGGCTCATGGCGCCATAGAATTAAATCCCAGATGTAAAGTATACTCGACAATTTTATATGCATCCACGTAATAAATACATAACCCAACAAGACAACATATCTACGTTGGCTGAAATCCGCCATATAGCTGTGATGTAGTGCGTGTCGTGATCGAGGAGACCCAACTGTCAAATCATGTCCCTTGTTGATACTAGACGCAGACCAGATATATACTATTAAGGACCCTCATGTTTTTTTTATCCTCCACAATTCGGTAAATCTGTAGTAGAAACAAGAGATCGTCACCACTAGGCATAGTCTAGCTAACATACAGAGTACTCTAGCTGCATACACTTATGCAATGGTGGATATATTATATCATGCATGAACTACGCGCATGATGTGCGGACCGTATCATGTGCATCCCCGTATCAGAAACCATTCTACACTAGATAAATACATATATGCAAAAACTAATATGGGAATAAAGCGAAGGAGAGCCCGGGGTTTGGGGAAGCGGGGTTGGGCGCCGCGCGGAAGCTGAGATATGAAGTTCAAAAGCCACCCGGGAAAGGAAGAAAACAAGCCTCAGCGGCTAACACCTGTTGTGATATTGAGTCAAGTTAGCCATTATGTGCAATGTACAGTACATACATATACCTTGTCCATGTGGCACTCCAACAGAGCGGGGAGGGGATATCAAGAGAGGTTGGAGGACCATGCATATCATATCATCGCTTAAGAAGGAAGCAAAATACGTCCAGGTACATGTACCACATATGTTATTCATAGACATGCGTAGGTAGGTACGTACGTAACCAAGTCAAGATGTATAAAAGAAAACAACCCGGTGGAGCCGGCGGCTGATCCAAACGCACAGTTGAACTGGAGATGAATTCGAAATTTCAATAGATATATGATAACGCCATGCTATGTCTTACCGTGCCATGCTATGCCATGCTATGCCATGCTATGCCATGTAACAAGAACCGCGAGCGAAAATGAAAAAAAAAAAAAAAAAGGATCTCCGCTAAATCTCTCAGCTGAGAGTTTTCCAGCATCCGCTGCCGGATGTAGCTGGGGGTATGATCGTATGAGAAAAAAAGAATGGGTACCATTACACAGCAGCAGAACGACGGACCTTGTCGTAGTTTATGTATGTATGGATGGATGTAGTGCCATATTCATCAAGGGCCCCTCCATGATCCGTATGTCAAGCAAAACCTGCTGCGTAGTGTGTTACCACCTTCACCCTTGTGTCTTGTGTTCACAGCCGTGGAGGCCTTTTTCCATATTTCTTTGCATGAAGATCATCTCGGGAACCCGCATGTCCCATACATGAGCTGACAATGATAATGAAACAAAGAGGTTTGCATAATTTATGCCCCCCCAAAAAACAAAATACGATCAACCACCTCACTGAGGAGCTTAATGACGGGTGCAGTGATGGCGCCATTATTTCCCGGAACTGGGTGGATAAACAAACAATAACCGTGAAAGCCAAGCTAACCTGACCACTACATCATTCGTCCTGAAAGGAAAAAATTGTCGAAAAGTTGCCCATGCCTCCTTCTTCGTCTTCTTCAGGGCCCTTGCTTCTCTCGCATGAGCTTGAACACGCGAAGGTCCAGGGGTATACGCTCGCCCATCCATGTAGCTCGTTGTGTATGGTTTCGCTCCTCCTCCCGCTCATCCCCCGTATTGGGATGGATCAGGGCGCTCAGCGGGCCACGGTTTATGACAAGCCACGGGACAAAAGCCCCAAATTGCGCTGGAGTGAAAAGGTTGACTTCGAACATCGCAACTGTATGAGGTCCAATGGGCCGGCCGAAGAAGGAATAGATGCGAAGTTCGGGAACTATACCGGCGTATGTGTTCGTGAGTATTGCGCAGTTAAGTTCAATAAAAGTAAGAAAGTGGGGATGATTGATTGAATTGATTCTCGAAATGGAGATATCATATGCTACCGTTGCAGTTCACATCCGGCATGCATTTATCCTCTCAGGTCTATTTCATCTTCGGGATGGAAATCGAGAACAAAGATAGGTAATGTAAATGGCTGGAGGAAAGGCTTGTGGATTACATTCATGACGTATCCGTTGCCAAAGCGCTTTGGCAAAGTTGACCTGGTCTGGGTTGTTCTGTTTTATGTGTTATTTTGCACTGAATTCGAAGCATGTCGTTATGTCAAGGACGACGTCGTGTGGAAAAATACGTAGCATTCAAACATCGAGCATGCAAAGGCAACAGCAGAGGCAGCAGCAGCAGACCAACCTGGTAGTGGTAGATGTGAATATCGAAGCCACCCCGATGGCCTTTCTCCAGTGGGTCTGGGAATTCCTCGTATGCCTTGCTCAGGATCCCATGCTGCGGGTTCCTGAACGACTTCCCATCTTCATTGCGTTCCCTAGCCCAATATCGAAGCATCAGAAAAACGAACTGTGACGCGGCGGTTGCCAGATGCTTTTGCTGTCCTACACATACTCTGGAAGAGGGGGAAGGTTTTCATAGCCCTCAAGCGGCGAAGGGTAGAAAAAGGCAAACTGGTCTGTCATGATAAATAATAGCCGATTAGGTGAACAGGACTAGAGATTGGCGACTAGAGAGATTGGCTATTATGCTTGGTTTTGGGTGGATGGAGTGCACGGAAAGTAGCTGGGAGAGGTGGTCAGCCTATTGCAGGATTCGGCCACATAAAACTCATGAACAGGAAAAGTTTGGGTTGTTAAGGTTGTTTTAGCTGCGCCTGGTCGGGAATCCGGAAGCGCTGAGGGGGGTTTAGGTGCCGAGCTGGGCGGATTCGGGGCTATATTAACCAATTCTTAATTTTTCAACGCTCTTGCTGGTGTTATGCGGGATTGCGGTTTGGCGGCACGTTGTCGCATCCGCTGAGGCTCAGGCTGACCAATCCGAAACCGAGGGACCCCGATCACATCCAGATCCAATCGAGGCTCAAGCACCGTTTTGAATCCGCAACCAACTACGGAGTACTGTGAAATATTTGAGGATATATGATTGCCTCTCATAATACGAGTGTGTGGAGGATTGTGGGTCTTGCGAGAAAGTGAGTCAGTGGATGTCCGCGCTATGAAAGTGGCTCCGGGAGTATGAATTGATTCTCGTTATTGTCCTCGTCTGCACCTGTCAGGGTCTTTTCTTTCTCCATAGGAAGATCTGTACAGTCTGTTATCATTTGTTTAGCCATTGCCTAGGAGGCCAAAAAGCCGCCTGGGCACCTGTGGGCCGTGGAAGGCGATGATAATATTATGCAAAGACGAAGATTAGCACAATGTGTGTGGTCCGGATTCATCCAACACGAAGCTAAACTGCTTAGTGGCTTCCAAGCAAGCTCCCCAAGACAAGTACAAGGGAAAAAAAAAAGGAAAGGAGAACAGCAAAAGCACCACGCCATGATCTGAAGGGCCCCAATGCCCCCAAAGCCTGCCACGGCTCCCTTGGCACCCGGCACCTCTGTACGTGCCTTACAAGGGCTCACTGCTCCCTTGGGCCCCCCTTGACTGGGCTGGTCGAGTTCCATGCAATAAGAATGATATGCAGGAGGTTTCGCTGGCCAGTCAAATCAGAAGAAATCAACTTGAACATTTCTGTTCTAGACCGTCTCCCCGCTTTTCCGACGTGGGAATCACTTGTTACGGCTTGACATCCTCAATGTCCAACAGAGTCCCAGTTTTTAGTTCTTCCACATCATACACACCCTTCTCCGTCCGCGTTCGTTATTCTCGATTCAACTCCTCTGTCTTGTCTTTTACAGGCCCGCTCTATTTCCTCTTGGGTCCACATCTGGCAGATGAGACTCGGAACCCTTCCCTTAAGTCAGTTGTCAGTATATTAGTGTTGTTATATCCTCGCACAATTCGATTAATCACATCCACAGCCCTGCTCCGTGCTGCAGTTTTTCTGTTCTGGGTAGCCTTGTGTTACGAAGGGCAGAAAAAAGAAATTTGAAGGAAAAATAATGAAAAAATAAGAAAAAAGAAAAGAAACAGAAAAAAGTAAATAAGGGAACAAAAAAGCAGAAAAATAAAGAAGGTGAACTCCGTCCTCTCCAAAGGTCGCGCGATCAACCCCGTCAACAGCAATTTGCCAACACAAAATCTGTCCTTTGCCGCGCATTTCGGAGACCTGGCTGAGGGTTGAGTCTGATTTTTCTCTGACTTGTCCATGCTACATCCCTACCCGACCCGACCTGACTTCAATCAATTCCTTTGAAGCGAGAGCGGTTTTCCCAATGGCCATCGGGCTGCAATTCAGCGACCAAACGTGATGGAAGGCTAGACCCTGCGAGATCCCGTCTTGTATTCCAGAAGCTCACTGTGTGAAAGAATACTATCTGCCTGTACGTGCGCATCTTCATCGACAAGGTGGGCTTACTTGCGATGATCTCTCCATCTCTCTTTTCTTTGGTATTATTATTATTATTATTATTTTTCTTTTCGTTCTATATTCCTAAATCCGTTTCCTCTCACTTGTTCCACTATATCTTCTTCCTTTTGATTTCCCCTCCCTTCTCCATTTCTGAACGAGGGGGAAATAAAGGAAAAAGAAAAGAAGGAAGGAAGCGAAAAAGAAAGAAAAAAAAACTATCCATCTTCATGGTCTTTTGTTCTCTGCGAACGGCATCGCGGGCAGTATCCAGGCTTGGTGTTTGGTTGATATCGCGACCGCAGTTTAGCTGAATGAAAAAAACGTTGAATAACAGTGCGAAAAATCTAGGCTCCTTGGGTTTCGAATCAGCCCACTGTCCGAAATAAAACAATAATACAGCTAGTTGCCTAAAGACTCTCTGCCTCGCGATGCACAATTCATACACCTTCTGAA